TTGGAACCCTTAACCCTATTCTCCTGGCTAAAAAGATAACAAGTTAGTGACTTCCGTGACTGTGCTGTGGCATAGTAGCTACTGGAAAAGTGTGCCGCGGCACAGTGGCTGCTGCCCTTTTCCCGCATCATTCCATATTCTTCAAAGATATTGATTTTGAACTCGATAACGATGAATTTGGAAAAGTTGTAACATATGAAATGTAACCCTTTGAATCAGCTTTCCAAAGGTCAAGAATCGTTAATACGAGTACTAAAGCTCAAGTATCGTAAAATACCGAGACATGCGCAAGCTGGAACATAATCTAGAATCTTCTCTTTACTTCACTTCCATAACTTCTTCTTCAATTCACTCCGATTCTTGATCCGTTTGTTTCCACTTGTCACTCATTCCATTGCAAACATGATCTTCATCCGAGCATAACATTTAACACTAGTGACCCAGATCCCATAAAGGCAATTATGAAAAGATTAACAATTTTACCAAATAAACCTAATTTCCCAATTAATCTCCCAAAAAATTTCTTAATACAAATTAACAATCAAAGATCAATACATTAAGAGATTGGGCTATATCTTAGCCCTAGAGAATAAATTTAGTTCATAATAAACATGAAAGAAACAATCATCTTATTAAACATTCATCATGAGTATACAAGAAAAGATAAGGAAAACTTCTCTATATTGTGATCAAGCTCCAGAATTTCTAGTACTTCTCTTCTCTCTATTTTTCTCCCTTTCTTCTACCAGAATCCCCTAAAATGTTAATAGACTTCTATTTATATCCCACAAGGTTAGGGTTTTTTTTTCCTTAATTCTATTTGATTTGGAACCCTTAACCCTATTCTCCTGGCTAAAACGGATAACAAGTTAGTGACTTCCGTGACTATGCCGCGGCACTGTGCTGTGGCACTAGTAGCTACTGGAAAAAGTGTGCCATGGCACGGTGCCGCGGCACAGTAGCTGCTGCCCTTTTCCGCATCATTCCACTGTTCTTCAAAGATGTTGATTTTTGAATTTGATAACGGTGGAATTTGGAAAAGTTTAAACATATGAAATGTAGCCCTTTGAATCAGCTTTCCAAAGGTCCAAGAATCGGCTTAATCTGAGTACTAAAGCTCAAGATATTCGCAAAATACCGAGCATGCGCACTAAACAATAATCTAGAATCTTCTCTTACTTCAACTTCTATAACTTCTCAATTCAACTCCGATTCGTATCCGTTTGTTTCCACTTGTCACTCATTCCGTTGCAAACATGATTCTTCATCCTAGCATAACATTTAAGCACTAGTACACGTGATCCCGTAAAAGGCAATTAAAATATTAAGCAACTTTATCAAATTAAACCTAATTTCCCACAATTAATCCCCCAAAGCCACACTAAATGTATTTTCAAGCTCTTACACTATACATAATTATCTCAATAACAGTCTCTCTAAGGACTATACATTTACCCGATTTTATTAAACCAGAAATGTAATTAATGTTAACTCATAATTAGGAAATTTTCTAACATTTAAATCTAAAAATGGTTCTCTAATTTGCCGGTTCCCTTATAAAAGGATGCCGACATGAGTTAAACTCATAAGAACAAGATTTTCAGAAAACGATTGTGATTTGTTGAAAGACCGAAATGTCTACTCAGCTTTCAGCAGTTGCAACTTCTTACTGCTTGTTTCGATTATTCATATTTGCAGTATCCATTATCATCCTCCTTACCTTTTGTTCAAATAGTTCATATTCTTCTCGTTTTAGACAGTTGATCCTACAATTCAAGAAGAATATGAACAATTTCAACCAAAAGTAAGGAGGATGATAATGGATAATGCAGATATGCTTGCCGAGCAATTGCACTCGGTTGGATTCCACCAATTAGGTGTAGGTTCTCACTTTGTAAAAGAGATATATAGAAGATGCATGACTTGTGGTTTTCAAGTTTTAGCTAAATCAAAACACTTGCCATGTAACTTATCAAAATAGAATTCAAGTAACTAATCCTAGAAGAATTCTAGTAACCAAACCGCCTATTGAGCACTATCTTGCTCTTTCAATTGTTATTCATTTAAAAAAAAAAAAAAAAAACTCATAATTGAGAGTGCTATTGAAGGAGTAATCAAGTTCCTCATGCTCTCCTTGAGTTAATAGAAATTCTATTTATATATGCTCTCTAGTTTTGTTTTATTTTGTTCTATTTTCTAACAATTTTTATTGATATATTTTCTTTGAATTTGTCCCTGAAAGAAAGAAAGAAAGAAGTAAGAACCACAAGATTGTAAATGCAATTCTTTCATCAAAAAGAACTCTCTATCTTGTGTATTATGGTCACAATGTTCAGCAAAAGATTTACATACTTCTACTAATGTCTCCAGCCCAACTGAGACTCCTAGAACTTCTTCTGATAAGGTTCCGACAACCCAGCCACGAAGGAGTCTATCTGGTCTCCTCCATGCAGTGTATAGTGGATTCACCACTTGCTTTGTCTTGGTTATAGATCCTTCAGATTCTGTAACTGTTTTGGTGATGAACTCATCTGGTTTAGGACAAGTTCCATCTAGGAAGCCTCCCATGTCTTGGCTTTCAATCAGACCACTCATTTGTGTCTTTCACCTTATATAATTTTTTTTGTTTCAAATAGTTTCAAGGAAACAAAATTTTCTATATTAACTGTGGATGTATTGAATGGTGGTCGAAGAAAAAGACATATTATAGTGTTGGAAATTTTTAGGTATTGGCAGGAGAAGCAAAGTGAAGCTTTTGTTTAAAAAATAACTGAATGCTTTTTCAGTATATTTTCTGTGTTTTTACAAAGTATATTTAGTATTTGTTATTTACAAGAATGAAAAATAACTGCCATAGTCTAACTCCTGTAATCAAGCTATAATTGGGAAGATTATTTATCTACAATAAATAGGAAAATTAGCTATAATCTAATCTTCCTTGATTTCTTGGATTTGCTCCACCTTTGAATTTAATTCCTTTATATTAGTGTTTTAGAACCCGGCCCAGCCTGATCGGTTAAACCGATTTAAACGGGACCCGAGAGCTTCACTAGGCCAAGTTAACAGTTTCTCTATTCACCCAAAACCCTAAAATTTAGGATGATGATCGACGAACAATTGAAGGGCGAAATGTTGGGGCTTTTGTAGAGAAAGTGCCGGTGAATATAATGGCAGCGACAGAGTTGATTTCTAGTAAGTGAATCGACTGAAAATAAAAAATAAAAACAGGCAGCAACAACAGTCAACTTTTGCTGACGATTGGCAAGGCTAATGGGGGGTGAGGTGAGGTGGGTTTTGGTCGAGAGGCAAGGGAGGTATTTTCCAAGGTTCTAAAACTTGGATCGAACCGCCCAGTTTAACCGATTCGACCAGTGACTGGCCACAACTCCGGTCCAGTTACATAATAAACTCCTTAAAAGACTAAAAACGGTTTTGGACCGCTGTTGGACCAGAAAAACGGTGACGAACCACCCGTCCGTGACCTAAACTGGGTCCCTAATTATTTGCAAATCTAAACTGTAGAAAAAAGTTAAAAAACTCATTCCCAAATTTGCATTCGCATCTTCATTTCAATCGGGACATTTTCTTCCTTCGTTGCGCAAAAACTTCGAATCGCATACATTCGCATCTTCATTCTTCAATCTCCCTGCATTTGCATCCTTCAAATTACATCTCCAATCGCATTCGCATCTTCAATCGCATTCAAACCTAGTTGAACTTCACCAGCAAACCTGCAATCCTGTACTTCTTCACGCCTAAACTGCACTTCGTGGATTTGCAGCTGTACTTCTTCAATCAGTTGATTCTTTTTTCCTTTTTTGGTTTTGCAGTTGTAATAATCTTCTCTATGATGAACAATAATGTAGGATTAATTTAATAGTATTCTATTTGATGCTTTGTGGAATGTGAAGATTGACGAAAGAAACAAAAATGAGGTTTTGGTGAAAAAGCATGTTGTGGCTTAGCCAAAAGTGAAGAAAAGTAAGGGGGAGGGGAAGGAGAAAAGAAGGAAGAGGATGAAGTGAAGAAGTTAGAGACGAAGAATAGAGGGAAGAAGAAGAAAGAGAAAATTTATAGAAGAGAGGGGAAACTGGAGAGTAATAGAAGAAAGTGGCAAAGAGAACTAGGAAAAAAATACAAGTATAGAAACTGTAAGGGTGTTTTTGCTAGATTTCAAACCTGTATGGACTAATTAGTTATTTTCTAGGGTGTGTTTGCTAAATTTTAAACTTATAAAGTCTAATGGTAATCACTGGTCAAACCGACCAGTTGAACCGATCAACCTGAGACCCAACCACTTGATCAGGTCATTGAATAGGTCAGGTTTTAGAACATCGGGGTGATGGAGAGGGTTGTCGACATCGGCGTCGATGAGATCTCGATTTCGACCAAATCTTGGATAAATTTTCTAGAGAATAGGCTCAATGGATGATTAGGATTGCATTTGAGTGTTGCCACCCCCAACCAATCAACCACCGATTTATATTTGGGATGTGTTTGGTAAATTTCAAACCTATAAATACTTAACACATTTTCAAGGATGTATTTGCTAAATTTTAAAAGTTTTATCACCCGATTTAACCAAGCTGGTCAAACCGTTAAACCGATCAACCCAAGACCCAAAAATTTTGCCAAGTTTCACCCTAGGTTTGGTTATTGAAACATTGCTTTAGATCAGTTGCATATTGGTACTTTCTTTAACGAAGTTTTCATGTCTCATACATCCAAGTTGCAAATAGATGAATAGATTATAGGACTCTGATTAAAATATTATAATAATTTAATTATATAGTTTGTGAGAGCCTAATCGAATTATCAAACAGACCTGAAAAATTCAATCAAAATAGAAGAAATCCTTTGTCGGACAAATCCTATAATAAGAATTTTAATCAAATAATGAAACAAGGTATGGAGGGCTGAGAGACGATGAGGAATTCAATGCAATCTAATCTTAAACCAATTTGTCCCCGTATTCTGCACATGCTTCTTGCCAAACAACAGATTGAAATCGTTTTTTTTTTTTCATTTTAAGAAAAGCAGATCTTTTAACACCAAAAATTTGGTGAGTCATACTTAAAAACTAACAACTAAAGTACCAGTCACCAAATTCACCATCTATTTCATACATATTTTGAAATGTTCTGAGATGGTTTCAAGAAATACCATGAAACTGTTAAACAAATATAAGAGCTCCACTGCACTAATCCGCATCCATTTCTTCCAATGCAGCTCTAGCTGCCGCCTTAGCTTCCTCAAGAAGTTCATCCGGAACCTTAATGTAATTCAACAATAGAGCATTAGCCTAGCGAGTCACTAAAACACTCCTAAGTAAGCAAACAGACCACCATTTTAAACTCTTATTGAGCATTTGCAATTAAACGATCAGGGATACAGGAGAGCAGAGGGGCAAACAGGATCAAAAGAAGAGCAAATATAACAGCAATTAGAAAGCAGAGTAAAACAATAGCACCTATTTATAATGTTCAAGTACTAACCAAAAAAGAAATAAAAATCTACTCCAAATAACTAAATCCCAAGTAATAGTCTGACTCATATATATCCCTCAAACTTGAGAGAGAGAGAGAGAGACAAGAAAAGCTTTAGGTTCTTGATTCTAACATCAATCACATGATGCATATGTTAGAAACAAATTTTAGTTTGGAACAACATGAACAAAATGGTGTCCGTAGAAGGGATTATAATATTTATAGTTCATCAAAAGATCAAGGAAGATAACCATGAAAACAAAAAAATGAAATAAAAAAGAGAGAAAACCTCATACAAAAAAAGAAAAAATATATAAGAGAGAGAGAGAGACAGAGAAAAACCCCAGATGCAGACATTCAACCTTATTCAAAGTACTGAAATGCCATGATAACCCCTTTAAGACAAAAAAGAAGAATGAAATGCCATTATAAAGCTATTGAACTCATCCCTGCATCTTTTAATTTCACAAATCTCTAAAGAAACAATTGTTTCTGCAAAATGACATATGATATTGCTCATAACAGAAAAAGGCTGCTCCAAAACTTTGCTATGACTCCACACCTAAATTGACTCCTTTAGACAAAGTCGTTGACCAACAACTTCAGAAGTCAAAATAATCTTTTACTTTGCAGCTAATGTTGCATACCAATGACAATCATCTGTCCATTAGTTGTGAGCAATTAAGGAAAGAGAATCATGGAAAAACAAAGCAGTGATAAAAATTGCTTTGTCCATTGCTAATATTTGCTATGACTCCACACCTAAATTGACTCCTTTAGACAAAGTCATTGACCAAAAACTTCATAAGTCAAAATAATCTTTTACTTTGCAGCTAATGTTGCGTACCAATGACAATCATCTACCCATTAGTTGTGAGCAATTAAGGATAGAGAATCATGGAAAAACAAAACAGCGGTAAAAATTGCTTTGTCCAAGTCAAGAAAGAAAGGGTAGAAATACTTCAGCAAAATAAGACCATAAGGTTAAATGAATAAGTTTCTCATGCTACTAAAAAAAAAATTAGAGATTACCTTTTGATGCTGGCGGTTTGATTCATCACAGACCCAGCTCATTTCCAATTCAAAAGCCTTGTCCTTTGCCTCATCGTGCACTCCGTAAATACTTTAAGCATTACATAAGACAAGTCATGAAACCATCCAAAACAAACATGTACCAGAAATTCAAAGATAAAATATATGATTAATAATTACTACTCCCAAGCCTTTACTTTTGCTGATCTGATCATAATTCTTTTTTTTTTTTTTTAAAATTGACAAAACCATGAACCATCCCCATAAAGAAAATCATATGGAAAACCGTCACAACCATACACTGCCATCATAATGTTACACATACTTATTAAGTTACATTACTAAGTATAATCCAACTTACATCTTGGCTACTTCAATAACTCCTTGGCGGCAGGTCAACTCAGAAAGTTTCAACTTCTCAATCTCTCTGCATAAATATATCATTCAAAGATATCAGTACCACCAGATAATTTTCAGAGAACAGTGAAAAACAAAAGCAAGATAACTTTATAATTTGAGAATATAATCATAGATGCTTTTATCCAGATTCTAAATGAGTCAGGTAGACCAATATCCTTAAAACACAAATTTAGTTTAATGCAGTATGTCAATGAATATGAAGCAAAAGAAATATGAAGCACAATTAAATGCTTAGAAAACCTTAAAAATGAATCCTTATATTTATCACACAATTTCTTATCTGTCCATAAGTATAACCCATAACAAAATTTCTCATCTGTCCATAAGAAATTTTAAATTTTAAAAGGATTAACCCATAAGAATAACCCATAACAAAATTTAAAAAAAAAATAAATAAAAATTAAGATACACGTGAAATTGTAATAAGGATTAAAACATAGCTGGTTCTTCCAGTTTGCTTCTAAAGCAAAGGAAATCTCCTATCTTAGGACTTAACAAACAAGTATTTTGAAACTTACGTCTTGGCTGCCTGCCTTCCCTTTCCAATTGCAGCACCAAAGTACCTCTAAAACAGACACCAAAGCACATAATGGTAAGAAGGAAGACAATCCAGAATAATAAAAATATAATAAACCAACTGTTAAATTAATAAGTGCAGATAGAATTGCAAGACCACAATATATTAAATGATATAACTGTAACAGCATATGACAAAATATTAACTTACATAGGAAACACCAGATGGCTATATAACTGTAACAGCATATGACAAAATATTAACTTACATAGGAAACACCAGATGGCTCAACCATGTACAATTGTGGCCCATCTCTGTCATAACCTCCTAGAATTACTCCACATCCAAAAGGTCTGACGGCACCAATGTGTATTCACAGAGTTATAAGACTGATAGGAAGAGAAAAATTAATAATAAAATGCCAAGTAACAACATCAAACCTGAGCCACCAATATAGAGTACATAGATGCACATAACTAGCAACTCGTTGAGCAAGTTCTTTCACAGGAATTGGTTCACCATACACACTGCAAGTCAAGAACAAAAATAAGATGAAATTTAAATGATATGTTGAGAAGTGTTATTGACACCTATACTTTTCAACATATTGCTTCTGCTCTTTACAATTGCACTCATTCAAATGTACACATCTCATTCAACTAGCAATTACAACATTAGCATTGACAACTTTACAACACACATTGTACCAAAATGTGACAACAGTATTGTAGTGTATGCCAAATCTCCCTTCCATAATTACAACCCTACATATGAACCTTATTTTTAAAGGGTTTCCTTCATAACCACCGGTAAATTGACACACACAAGGCATTCTAACACTCATTAAACCTCTCTTAGCAAATAAAACAGGACCAATTGAAATGCCTTGATGAAATCTAAAGTACACTTGCATGAAAAAGACATGTTCTGTGCTTCTGTTGCGTGCATGTACATGTGCATGTGTAAGAGAAAGATGCATTAGAATCTAAAACCTTAGATACTGCTCAATGTATAGGCAAGCAACCTACGTTTCAATTGATTTCTTACAATCCCGTAATTAACCATAATATGTAAAATTACAATAAATTACTTGCAAGCACATAGAATTGAGCCCCATCAGCCAAAGACATACTAATAATTTTATTTAACGATCAGGTTAACAAATTATTCCATCAACATTTACAATTGACGTGGCTTATATAAGAACAACAAGAGAAAACATAAAAGAGGAATTATATTCATATTTATGTAAACACAATGTCAGAGAACATTTCCATATGACGGTTTGTCACTACATGTAGAAACATTATTATAAATTCCACTATATGCAAATGCCACGACATTATTTACTTAAATTCAAGATCAATTAGCTGTTTTAGCATTTAATTAAAATTATTGAAACTTAATGTTTTTTGAATGATAACTCTTTTTGAAAATTAAATCAGTAAAAAGATTTTTAATATTGTTAATTCCATACAGCATAGAAGCATGGCACAATTTATAAAGATTCCATAAGTCGCATTCCTTATTTATGTCTTCAGATAGTCTATATGCCTTTAATAGCTATGTTTTCCATATATAAAACTCAACATGCTGTCAATGCATGACACAAGATGCTGTCAATGCATGACACAAGATGCATATAAGTGAAAAAATTAACAAAGCAAACCTTTCATAACTTGTGGCTTCACTCTTTGCCCGTGCAACAATTTGTCTCCCATCAGCTGCTAATCCTGCCACAGCCTGTAGTTGGAAAAATATCAGCAAGTGTGGCAATATAAAAGTTGAAAACAGATACATGAGGCTAGTTTTACCTTTAAAAGAAATTATTATTCACAAGAACTTGATCTATACAAGAATACTAGACCTGAAATTTATAAAAGAGGCACTTTTTGACAGATATATATATATATATATATATATAGAGAGAGAGAGAGAGAGAGAGAGAGAGAGAGAGGGGAGATAAAAGACATCCCTCTCATTTGTTTCTTTTCCGATGCCCAAAAATCCCCCAACATTTCATACGAATGAACCGAGTTCCAAACTAAGGATTACTATTGGAGCCCCAACCTTAATATAATATCCCAAGTAGGTGACCTTTGAAAGGGTTTAAACCCCTTATCTCTAGGTTGGATACTAAAGGTCTTAACCACTCAAGCCAACCATTTAGGTTCAAAGACATCCTCCCCATTGGTTTGATTTTTAAACAAAATGTAACAAACATCTTGATACATTCTCTGTGATACAGAAGAAAAAATAAAAAATAAAAAAATTTATTATAATAAACCACTGGATGTGCCAAAGGGAGAGAACGCCTATGAATGACAACCCTCATTGTAAAGTCCTTTGAACTCACTACATGTTTTGGGTAGTCAACTTTTCATATGGGAGTCCATTAATGTACTTAATTGCTATACTAAGAGAGAGAGAGGGAGAGAGATTAACAATTTCGCAAAGAGAATACTAGCAGTTGAAAGTTGTATTAAGAACCAAAATCAATTCTATTTTGCAAGTATTCTCATAAAAAATTTCCTAGAAAAGCCCTAACAGTACATGTTCGTTTAAAAATTTTCAGGTATCACGGATGAACTCCAAACTTCATTTTGCACACAAATTTTAAGCTAAGATAACCTTTTAACATCTCTATCACCGATAGAAAGTATATCTTCTAACAACCATCAACTTTCACATTATTTTAGCCTTCCAATAGATGGGTCTTACTATAAATTAACTGAAAACCTCTAAAATCGTGGTTTGCAACCATTCAAACTTAGGGTTAAATCACTCTGTCTCTTTAACAAGCTAAAAAATCTAAAAATGAAGCATAAAAAAGTAAGAGAAAACATGGCAATTACTAGTAAAAATATCAGTGTCCAGAAGATCAAATCAGGACAGGTAAAAGAGAGTACCATGCCGGAATGACGATGAACAGAATGGATTCTTCTATTAGAACCAGGCAACATCATCTTCGACGCAATTAGCTTCTCCACTCCCTTAAAACCCAAACCAAAATAGCCATCAAAAACCAATTTGTAACTAGGACAACAACAATAATTTAAAAAAAAAAAAAAAGTAAAATTTACCATAACGATCCCATCTTTGCATTTAATTCCTATGACAGTCCTGCAAAAGATATAAAAAACTGAGATCAATCAAGAAATTAAAAGAAAAGCAAAGGAAAATCGAAGGATGGTAAGTGATTTGAGTAGAGTACCCGCTGTTATCGACCGCTTTGGCGGCGTACTCGATCTGGAAAACGCGACCATCTGGAGAGAATGTAGTGACCGACAGATCGTAGCCTGTTCCTATGCTGCTCATTCTGTTGCTTCGATTTTGATTCTTCGGAAGTTTCCTTTTTGTTTCTTCAAGTATGTCACACAGAAAGCCTAGCTCGCCAAAATATAGAGAGTTTCTTTGCTATCAAGAAACAGCCGGGTCCTTTTTCTTTTTTGTTATTATTTTTTTTTTTTAAACAATATCCTTACGGACCTTACCTATTGGGTTTACTCAATTAGCCAAATTCAACGCTGATTTTATCATTATAACCCTCATATATTAAGGTTAATATGATAATTTCACACACAAAATCTTTAAACAAGAAAAATTATATAAAATGGCACTATTTTGAGTAGAGAATTGAAAAGTTGAAAACTATTCACTTTTTTAAAACCTTTTCAAGAAATAGCACAATCACATTATACCAAAGTTTTGAAACTCGACCAGTCAAGGGGTTGAGTCTCGATTTGCCTGGTCCGATCGGTTAAACCAGTGGTATGACCAAATTTTGAAATCTTGCAAAAACACCCCTAAAAATTGAAGCAGTCCCAACAGGTTTGAAATCTATCAAATACACCCCTACGGTCTGACCCTAAATTGATTTTTCCAGTCAAATTCAAGCTGATTTCGGCGACCAAAATTCAATCTGACACCACCACCTAACCACCGTCCTCTACTCTACAAAACCCTTCTAAATCCGAAACTTGGTAGCCCCTCGTTCACCAGCCATGACTCGCTAACAACATCGCGATTAGGCTGATTTTTTCGGCCAAATTCCGACTAATTCCTGCATCCAAATTTCAATTCGACACCACCACCTGAACCATCAACCTCTACTCCACAAGACCCATCTAACCCTGGCACTTGGCAGCCCCCCGTTTGTCAACTATGACTCGTGTATTGGGTTGATTTTTCTGACCAAATTTTGGCTGATTCCAACTTCCAAAATATGACACCACCCCTTGAACCACCGGCCTCCACTCTACAAAAGCCCTCTAACCCCAACATTTGATAGCTCCTCATTCGTCGGCAATCAGATTAGGGATTTGGTGAATAGTTAAAAATGGTAACTCGGTCCGGAAAGGGTGTCGATCATCAGTTGGACCGATGCGACCAACCGATCCAGTCCGATTTTCAAAACCTTGCAATATACACAAATTCAAAGGACAAAAACTTCTCAAATATAAAAAAACCTTAATCATTCACTCATCTTCTCCTAACCATTCCTTTCATTGAAGACTTTGAAAACGCAACCTATAAACCAATTTTGCTATTCGATTTGGTCTTGGATTTCAATTGATTTGACTTGCATTTTATGGAGTTGTTGGTTTAGGATGTGAGATTGGGTTGATTGTTGTTTGATGGTGCGAATTTGGGTGGTTTTAATGGTTTTCAATTGTGGAAAATGATATTGGGAACCTATGTGTTTTGGCCGATAGGGGCTATTTTGTTGGTCTGAATGATTGTGCCAGCCAAAAAGTGCAAGTCATTTTGGAGAAAAAGAACGGGGGTTTTGTTCGGCCATGATTGGTTCTATCCAAACAGCTGAATCTGGCTGAATGACATGGTTTCAGCCATATTAAGTCATTTTAGTATGAAAGTGTATAATTGGTCGAATCTGTCTAGTACCATGTTGTTTTGTCTAAAATTAACTAACACTGGTCAATAAAGGGTATCAGTCGAAAGGCCCAAAACTCATATTCAACCTAATGTTTTTAAACTTGGCTCACCCTTTGACCTAGTCAAGGGGTAGGTTCTCGGGTTGACTGGTCTAACTGGTTAGACTAACCGATCAAACCGGTGTATCCAATAGTTTGAAACCTAGCAAACACACCCCATGATCTAGCCAAATGCAAGTTGGCGATCGACTGGTTGGTGGCGGTAACCAATGTTTTAAAACCTAACCTGGGGTGAAACCCGGTAAAGTCATCAGGTCCCAGGTTGACTGGTTTAACTGGTTTGACCACCGGTTAAACTAGTTGACAAAAACTTCTAAAATTTAGCAAATACACCCCTAAAAATTACAGTTAAGTCTCTATAGGTTTGAAATTTAGCAAACACACCCCAAATACAAATCGGTCGGAGACTGGTTAGCGGCGACGACACCCCAAATGCAACCTCAATCGTCCCTTGAGCCCATTCCCCTTAAAATATACCCAAGATCTAGCTGAAATAGGTTCAATTTTGGCCAAATCTCACCAACTAGCAATTTCGGCATTCCAAGCCAAATCTCATCAACGTCGTCGTCGAAAACCCTCCCCATCACCCAGAAATTACTCCCTTCTTCCTCCCGATCAAAACCCACTTCATCCCACCCCCATTAGCCTTGTCAATCGGCGGCAAAAGCCAATTATTGCCGCTGCTAGTTTTGTTCGATTTTCGATCGATTTACTCACCGGAAATCAACTTCATCATCACCATTGCATTCACCGGCACTTTCTCTTCAAAAGCCCCAACATCCTAACTGTCAATTGTTCGCCGATCATCCTCCCAAATCCTAGGGTTTTGGGTGAATAGGAAAAATATAAACCCAGCCTGTTGAAGCTTTCGGGTCCTAGTTGAACCGGTTAAACCGATCGGGCTGAGTCGGGTTTTAAAACATTGGCAGTAACACACCAGGGGGAGCGGGGTTAGGATGTTGGGCTCAAGCGGGGAGGGCATGTGACTGCAGTAGCATGCGGTTGGCGTCGCGCAACAAGGTGCCCCCTAGTGTCTTCGGGTGCGCGATGTCGTGCTGTGAGCCGCCAAGTGCGAGTTCATGCAAAAGGCAAGCACAACAATGCTTGGAAATGGGGCTTTCCACGGCTGGAACGAGGGGCATGGCCCACTAAGGGATGGGCGGCGGTCAAGTGAGGGTAGGGTTTGACTGGGAGGGGGCAAGAGGCAAGGAGCACTAGGAAAATGGTTAGAAGTGGTTGGAATGTAATGTTCTCTTTCTCTAGCTAGTATACTTGTAATTTGTAAATATACAGTAAAACTCACTAAATATATCTAGATATATATAAGAAAATATACACGTAGATAAGGATAAAATAGAGGGCCCATACTAATTTTTCTTTATATACAAAATTGTACATTAAGTAACACAATTACTCAAAAAAATAAACTCGACAGTATTGCAAGGCCCTTCCGCTTCTTGATGCTCCATCCAATCGCATCTTATCTACTACCTATAAAAACATTGGAAACAACGGGGTGAGCACTAATTGCTCAGTAAGTAAACCTGCTATGCTACCCTTCTATCTCCGTTGCTCTTATTCTGATTTTCTTTCCTTACATCAAACTTTTATATTCTTCTCTGCTCTTTCCATAACTCTAGTTTCTCACTACTCAGGATAGTAGAAATAATATCATGCATATGCACAAATGCATAGGATGTGCATTTTCTTTTCTCTGTTTTTCTTTCTTTCTTTCTTTCTATTCTTTCTTTCTTTCTATTCTTTCTATTCTTTCTTTCTATTCTTTCTTTCTTTCTGTTCTTTCTATTCTTTTCTTTCTTTCTTTCTATTCTTTCTATTCTTTTTTGTCGATCGGACTCGGTTGAGGCATGGATTCGAAACCCTGACCGTGTGAGTGAGTACAGTTCTTATCTACATGCACTTCTAACGGACTGTACAAATTCTTCTTTCTTATTCTAAGGCCGCTCACTAAAGGCGGTGTGCTTGTAGGTATGCTCTGATGGGTACAGTCCTCATCCACATGCACTTCTAACGGACTGTACAACTTCTTCTTTCTATTCTGAGGCCGTTCACTGAAGGCGGCGTGCATGTGGGGCTATTCTATTTCTCTGTCACTCACAGGTTCCTTTCTCTTCTCTTCTTTAAAAGTGTTCTTTATTAGTTCTCTTTTCTTTCTTTTTGTTCTTTAATGATCTTTAATGCTCTTCTAAGTATGTATGCATGTAGATGGGCTCATGCTTATTATTCTTTCTAAATTCACATGTTTAAATGCAAAAATGCAATATGGCATGTGAACATGTCATTCCCTACCATCTACAAACTCATATCAAAATAACACGTAAGCATATTCATGCATGCACTTCTCTTTGACATTTCATCAAACACTTTGTATGCACACACAAACTCTAATTTGGCTACACTTCCGTATCTTTCTTAAGCCACCAAAACTTGGAGCAAAACTTCTTGAAATCATCATCAAACCTGGCCAGGAATTACACTTCACAAATTCTACTCTAATTCTTCCATAATTCATCCAAACTCTCATCAAACACCACGTACACAAACACCACTTCTCATGGTGGAATTCTAACCATCATTCAACATCAATTCCATCAACAATTCTCATACAAACACATACATTCATAAAAGAAGTTTTCTACACCATATTGCTCCAATCATAACTAGGGTTGGATTTACTTACCTTATATGTGAACAATCCAAACAATTTAGTCTTCCTTTGATACAACCCTCTTTCTCTTAAACCCTATGAATACAAATCATAAGAATTCAACACTTTAAAAATTAAATCTCACATCTTAGTGCAAGAATCTTACCTAGAGATACTTGGGATTGAAAACTCACCCAAAGCGAACCAAGATCTATGAATTTCCTTGACAAGTGATTGAAGAAATTTGAGAGAACTTGGGTGAAAAGTGGCATGAATGGAAGGGGGAGAATGGCTAGGGTTTTATGCTTGAACCCTTAATATAACATATTCTTACTTATAGCTTCCCATTTTACCCTTGCACTTTCTATGAAATTCCATCTATATCCCTTAGTCAATTACCATAATATCCTTATTCCATTGCATTCTCCATGAAAATCTATCTCTTTTCACTCCCCACACTTTCAACTAATTATAGGTGGAATGACCATTTTGCCCTTGCGCAAGTTTTCCCCTGAATTTCACTAAAATTTTCCAGGAAGTTCTTCGCCCCGACGAAGCATGCATTTTTTGCCATGAATTTGGACAGAGAGTACATTGCCACGGCGAAGTTTGCAAAATTTTCCCCAAGCTAATTTCATGCATCCATCTTGGAATAAACACTACAACTAAGGGAAATAAGATTACGTACCTCGATGTGGGTGTTACATGGAATGTGGCTGGTGGTCAGGGATTTTAAAACAATGGACAAGGGTCTATTGGCCCGAAGAAGGCTTCGGTTCCCAGTCTAACCAATCAAAACGGCTGAGCCGAGTTT